CCACTAAATTTTTTGACAGGAAATGACAGAAAACAATTGAATACGTCAATTAATCCTGATTTGTGTCATATAGGTACTAACGTGCCAAATCTCGTTTCTTTATCTCAAAAAAATAAAAAAGTTAAAGAGGTGGACCACTTTTGAGAAAAACCCGGTATAATCGATGTTCCTTATTAAGATCATAGTGATTGTACCGTCCTGAATAATATATCTTGAACCAAAAGAATAAACATTGGATAAGTTTGGATCTTTTATTTCTAAATACTAATAGCTTTATTAATGATTTCTAAATCAATATAAAAATCGTATTGTGTCATCTTAAATAATCAACATAATACTAATTAAAATGGCATAATATCTGAACTCTATGTTAGATACGAGTCATATTTAACCTCTTTACTCGCACTGGCCTACATTAAATATGTCAAATAATTTTAAAGGTTAAAAAAATGTAATTCAATCATTTTTTCTTTAAACAGTATGACGAAAACAGTTTTAAGTTTAATCGAGCTTGGTATGATTAAGGGCCAGTACCCGTAATTTTATAAATCAACGTATTTTTGTAATGTTTTGAAATTTCAATCTGTTTTTGTTATTTATATTTGTTAAATACATTTATTTAACAACAAAAAGACGCAATTCGATGCAAAATACGGTATTAAGAAATAAATAACATATTTATATGTTACGTTGTTTCGGAAAAGGACAACCCATCTTTATGTTTTTGACGACCTATGTCTCGTCAGACAGATTAGTGGTGAAAAATAGAGGAACAACTGCATACTCCCTTCTACGTCCCACTAGTTAACTCGCATACCCAACAATGTTGCCGTCAGCTAAACTAGACACGTTTATTTTTACGGTTTATTTAAAGTTTGATTGTTATTTGGTTTATTTTGTTAGAACGATCTTAATAGTAATCAGAAAACTAAATAAAGTAAGAATAAGTGAAATGAATACCAAGTTTTGGGCGTTTTAGTGTAGGTTGTTTATTCTGTTATAATCTAATATTTACTAGATTTAAAATTTGTTTAAAATTTAAATTCAAATATTTTTATTTATGAAAATATATGATACTTTAATAAAAACTTGTGACAAGCTACTAGATCTTAATTTCCACTGCATTTTATTCAGAGTGAACGTTAGTCAAACCATCTAGAAATATATTTATTTACTTTTTTCCATAGCAACTGTTAAAATTGCCATATATCTATCAAAAATAGTAGATAAAATAGTACTTTAACCGCAAAGGTAGATTAAATGATACTTTAACAGCGAGGATAGGTTAATAACTTTATTTCCTCTCGCACGTTTTTTAATTGCTTCCATTTTTTCATGTTATTCGGGATTTAAATAGAAGTAGTTTGGATATGGCGTTTGTCGCCTCAGTCTGAATATCTGTTGGTAATTTATTTATTTCGTTTTGAGCCATTTCTGGCTCCAATTCAATCAGCAATCGACACCAGTGGCGCATCTAGAGATTGAGTCTGGGAGGGGTAGTGTGAATATTCAAAAAAGTACTAAATTTGAATTAAATTTTTGTTGGAAGGTATTGTAACTGTGGAAAAAATCTACTTGGATTGGTTTGGATATTCTGTTAAATTCATAATCAATTTGATTTTATACCAAATTTCACCTTATTATTTAATTTCTTTCTGGGAGGGGTTTTACTCCCATTACCCCTCCCGTATATGCGCCCCTGTATAGGGCTTGTTTCTCTCTATAATTTCTTGTTTCACACTGTACCGTTTGTGTCCGGGAAGGGTTCATAGTTTCATAAGAAATCAGTACATGTATATTATTTCGTATATTTTTCATTTTATTGATCTTATGGAAAGCATTGTTCATTAAAATGTATCCTATGTTACAGGGCTCGTTTCTCTCTACAACTTCCTGTCTCACAATGTACCGTTTGTGTCCGGGAAGGGTTCATAGTTTCATCGTTGTCGATTTTCGAGAGAAATCAATTCATGTATATTATTTCGTATATTTTTTATTTTATTGATTTTATGGAAACAACCATTCATTAAAATGTTGTATCCTATGTTATAGGGCTTGTTTCTCTCTACAATTTTCTGCCTCACAATGTACCGTTTGTGTCCGGGAAGGGATCATATTTTCATAGTTGTCGATTTTCAAAAGAAACCAGTACATGTATATTATTTCGTATATTATTCATTTTATTGATTTTATGGAAAGCACTGTTCATTAAAATGTTGTATCCTATGTTAAAAGGCTTGTTTTTCTCTACAACTTCCTGTCTCACAATGTACCGTTTGTGTCCGGGAAGGGTTCATAGTTTCATAGTTGTCGGTTTTCGAAAGAAATCAGTACATGTATATTATTTCGTATATTTTTATTATATTGATTTTATGGAAAGCACTGTTCATTAAAATGTTGTATCCTATGTTATAAGGCATGTTTCTCTCTACAATTTACACAATGTACCGTTTGTGTCCGAGAAGGGATCATAGTTTCATAGTTGTCGATTTTCGAAAGAAATCAGTACATGTATATTATTTCGTATATTTTTCATTTTATTGATTTTATGGAAAGCACTGTTCATTAAAATATTGTATCCTATGTTATAAGGCTTGTTTCTCTCTTCAATTTCCTGTCTCACAATGTACCGTTTGTGTCCGGGAAGGGTTCATAATTTCATAGTTGTCGATTTCCGAAAGAAATCAGTACATGTATATTATTTCCTATATTTTTCATTTTATTGATTTTATGGAAAGAACTTTTTATTAAAATGTTGTATCCTATATTATAGGGCTTGTTTCTCTCTATAATTTCCTGTTTCACAATGTATCGTTTGTGTCAGGGAAGAGTTCATAGTTTCATAGTTGTCGATTTTCGAAAGAAATCAGTACATGTATATTATTTCGTATATTTTTCATTTTATTGATTTTATGGAAAGCACTGTTCATTAAAATGTTGTATCCTATGTTATAGGGCTTGTTTCTCTCTACAATTTCCTGTCTCACAGTCGATTTTCGAAAGAAATAATTAAAATAAATTAATTTCTTTCTGGGAGGGGTAATTACCCCCATTACCCCTCCCGTATATGCGCCCCTGATCGACACGAAAGAGAATTAAAAAATATTCACTCAAAACTGGCAACTAAAGAGACAGCTTCATTTACATTTCATTTATTTGTCAAATTACATAGAAACCAATGCCAACCCACGAAAGATTAATTCACACCGATTTCATCGCTCGTGAATTAATCTTTTTGGTCGACGATAAAATACCATTTTATCGTCTTGCATAAAAAATAACTAATTTTTGAATTCAAATATTATACTTTTTTATTTTGAGAAAATTATGAATTAAATTGTTCTGCTGAGGAAAAGTTCATGTAATTTGTTTTAACACTAATATTATGATACCATTTAAAATGTTCATAGTCATCTTTAAACCTACTGATAAAATTACACATAGGACATTTTTTTTCTAATATTTTGTACAGAGATATTGGTATTATTTAAACCATCACCTAAAACAGTTCTATTATTATACCTCAATCAAGGATATTAAGATTAAATTTTGCATTCTTAAAGAGGACACAGAAAGACACAGTCAAAGCACGGCATATAAATCACACGGCAGGCTAACTCTCTTTGGCGGGAACGCTACGCGCATACCGTCGCGCACGCCGCCATTAGGGTTTCCATCAACAGAAAGTAACCAGTGTCGTAGTTTCTTTCATCGACTGCGCACACTTTCGGCTGATTCGAGTCAGTAGCGTACGAATTAATTTATTTTGTTTATTTATTGAGTTATATTTTATAGTTGTTGTTTTATTTTTGTTTATTGTGTTATATATTTGGTTTTTCTAGTTTATTTTCGTTTCTTGTGTTATATAATTTATTTTTGTATTTCTGAACATTTTTAAATCGTTAATTTTTACGTGTTTTTAAAATGCCTGGGCGAAGTTGTGCAGCAAAAAACTGCCCGAGTAGAGGACTAAACTGCAATAAAAGTTTCTTTCTGTTTCCTAGAGATCCGATTAGGTATGTATATACATATGTGATTAATTATTTTAACATATTTTAGTTAAAAAAACAGTAGTATACATTAGGACATTCAGCTAAATAGAAAGATCTAATTAAAAATATACAAGTTCAGCATCTATATTAAATGTTAACAAACTTATATACAGGGTGAGTCTTAAATAATTGTAATATTTTTTTTTAAATGTTGAGTTGAGAGCCACCGGATTTTTTCTGTATTTGCATCCCTTTTAGTGCCGCAACCATAGATTAAAGCCGTAACTATGGTAATATCAGAGATTAAGAAATTATACCGTGGGAAAATTTGCGGTGGACAGGCAGTTCTAAAAAGTTTTCGAAAAATATACAGGGAAGTTAAAAGAAAATGCACGATTTTCAATATCTTTTTTTAGCGAAAAAAAATCATAAACGTGTTCCTGGGGTCGAAATATACCACCCCTGAAAATATTTGCACTTATTCAAGACTCACCCTATATGTATATAAAATATTAGCAAGATTAAAATGTTAAATATTTAGTAAAATTTAATGTTGTATCTAGACATTCAACATTAAATTTAGAAATAATTATATTATTAATTTAAATAAAATTATAAAAATAAATAAAAAGAGGATATAGAAAATAAGTTAATTGTCTATTCTCTATAGAGAAATATTTAATTGATTTTTTCATTTTTACTTTTCGAGAAGTATGCGCGATTAACGATTCATTTGTTTGGACAAAAGTATTGTAAATAAAATTCAGTTTCAGTCAATTACAGTAATTTTTTAATACGACCCTTTCGTATTTTCTGAGAAATTTTTTGATACGTTTTAATCCGGCCCTGACTAGGAAACCATAATGGCGCCGACAAGGTCAAATTTTATAGAAATTTTAAACAATGGAATCTGAGTAGAGTTGGCGTGCCGATTGTTTTATGTGCCGTGGTCAAAGTCTAAACACCATTACTAAGATTGGGAATCTAATTAGAGACAATCCGTAAATATTTTTTAATAACAATTTTTATTTGTACAAAAAATCTTATATTTTTATATCACTGTTAGCATATATCTATTTTTTTTAAAAACATAATACATTTAAATTTTGCCTTAAGTAATCTACAGTCTTTTCCTAAAAGATATTCGTACTCCGTTTTTCGAAATTAAAATTGTTTCCGATGCTAGCTGCAATTCATGTTTTGGTTTTGCGGGTAACAATTCATATTTCCTTAGTACTTTAGACACGACAGACAGCATTTCAAGAACAGCAAACTTCTGACCTGCAAATTAAAAAAAAGGAAAGTAAATAAACTAACGCTTGAGAAAAATAAAGTATCTAATTTTTACCTATGCAATTTCTTGCTCCAGCCGAAAATGGTGTGTAGGCGTAAGACGGTAGCCTTTTACTCTTATCTTCAAATCTCTCTGGAATGAACTGTTCCGGGTCCTTGAAATATTTCGGATTTCGATGCATAAGGAATGGAATGAGAACAATTCTCATGCCTTTTGGATATATCGTGCCTTCTGAAAAAAAAAAAATATTATGTTATATTATTAAATATGGAATATGGAACTATGAATGCAATTAGATTAGCTCCTTTGTCTCTATAGATATACAACTGAGTGTCTGAGACATACAACTGTCTCTTCTTAGACCTGATGTTGATTATTGACAACGTAAAGAAACAACAGATTATTGACTCAACCCCCATTACATTTTTTAACGTTTCAAATAAAATGAAGAAGGGCAATGTTGAAACAGAATTTAAGTCAGTCGTAAAATCCCCATCGTGATCCACCTAAGTTTCTTGATATGCTCCGTCCTTAATATTTTTGTTAAAAGAAATTATCAAACTCACATTGCAGTAAGCTCGACTATTACCGCGACGTCATAAATCGTTTTCTCCAGCCTCTATGCGAAGGGTACGCTACTACCGAGGCTACTACTTACTTAATTCGACATCCTCCGCCAATTTTCTTGCATAAAATGGTACAGAAGGGTACAGTCGCAACGTCTCTTTAATAACCAGATCCAGGTATTTCATTTCATTAAAATTGCTGAACGTGGCAGTAGCGTTACTGCAGTCTTCACCAAAGATATCGTGCTGTTCAGCTACTGCTTTTTTCTGTCAAAAAGTCCATTAATATTTTATTAGTTTAAACACAACCATTCGAAAATATAATATATAAATAATTTTTATTTTAAGATTATTACTTAAAAAATGTTTATCGCATTCTTAGTTTCCATAGTAAAGAAGGATCTTAAAAATGTTGCAATGATTCTTATAGTTTCGTCCAACTTTTTGTTTTTAGATAAAATATTCTTATAGAAAATGTTTGGATTGTGAAATAGGACACTCTGTAACTTTGCGAAGCAATTTATTTGTGGCATTTTTATTTGCGAAACCTTTAATTTCGCAATAAGTACCTCAAGGTCTATTCTTACTGTTTAGCGCTTGCAAAAGAGGATTATTTAACCCCTTTTTGTATCTAAAATGGGAAACTGTACATGCCTCAGTAATATGATCAAAAGGTGCGTGCAGACCTGACTGAGACAAGGGCGAGACAATCCTTTAATGCTGGGAGTACACACTCGCCGAGGCGACCCGAGGAATCCGAGGCGCGATAAAAAAGGACGGTCCTAACCAATAACAATGCAGAAACCGTTCTATTCTTAACAATAATAACTTAACAATAATAATGTTAAAGTTTAATACTGAGACAAAATTTAAACTTACTTGCACTTCAGGATTATTTGCTAACATAAACAAACAAAACATAATGGCAGATGCAGTTGTATCATGACCCTAAAAACCAATAAAATAGTTACAGTATGTGTAATGAATATGTATAAATATCATGACAAATGAGAAAAATATTATTGAGTTACTGAAGAAAAGATTTTTTGTTCAAAAACTTTCAATTTTTTAAAAAATTTTTGGATATAAAGATTTTCAAAAACCTCATATTTTATTTTCACAAGCATTAAAAATTCGTAAATCAAGGTATAACCAAGAAGAAAAATTAAACAAAAATGTTAAATGTATTCCATGACTCGGGTAGTGTACTTTCGAACTAATAGCTAATTGACTCAAAAGCTTCAGCCGCCATAATATTTTAATATATCTACTCACTTCAAACATAAAAGTGTTCACTTCATCTCGCAAGTCTCTCATAGATAACGGTTGTCCATCAATTTTTAAATCCAGCAAAAGGTCCAGAAAAGCTAGCCTCTTTTTGATTCCATCACTTTCACTATTTTTCTTCTTGTCACTTAGTGATCCTTTCTGTCTCTCTTCTTTTCTTTGACTAATCACATTTTCAATGTATCTGTGGATAACCTGAATTTTGTATATACATTTAATTAATTATATGTGTTTTTTGTGAATTTTTGAGATTTATTAAAAAACCTATTTTATATTAAAAAACTATAGGGTTTATTTAATTCAACCCTAGTGTAATGACATAGCGTAGCAATGTTACTCCGGATACGAGAGCACTAGGGTCTTAAAGGTAACAAAAAAGCAGATGAAATGGTCAGTCATCAATGCCATTTATAGACCCAGAATTTTTTTTGGGGCACTGGATAGGCAAATTTCTAGAATGGTTGTATTGGTTGGCCGAACCTTTGGTGTTACACAGCAAAATAAAACACTGAATCACTACAATACACCAAAACACTTTTACTTTTATACTGGACGCGCGTTTCGCTAACCATGTTAGCATCATCAGCAGATGATTATAAACTAAACTACAATCTACAATTTGAGCATTTATATACTCGCTCAGTGGGCACCGAGTGGGCGTGGCAAGATCTAGCCAACCGAGTCAGAGCCCACCGAGCGTAACAGTTAGATTTCCTCCACTAGAGTAGTAGCACAGGTAGTAGGAGCAAAGAACTTGAAGGAATTGGACCGTTATCTCTGTTCATACTATCTTTACATTTATTAATTCTGATGCTTTCATATGCATCTAATTACCTATAATTTGAGACTTGTTTAATTAATTTTAAATTATTAAGATCTGTGTTCTTTATCAACAATATGTTCGACAACGCAAGATTTATCCGGTCTACCATATCTTATCTGAGCTAAATGTTCTTTAAATCTAAGTTAATATTGATCTTCTAGTTTGCCCAACATATTTCTGATTACAATCTTCACTAGAAATTTTATAAATACCCGACCTTTCTAGTGGATTACCTAATAATTGTTGTAATTTATTATTAGCACTATACACAAGTTTATAATTGACATTCTTAAAAATTCCTTTTAGATCACGGGATTAATTAATTATTAATTCCTTTTAGATCTCTATCAAACGGTATTGAAAAATATTTTGACGTATCTTACTCCACTTGAAAAGTCGAATTTTCAGAAATCATTAACCTATACCTACGTTTTCTAATTATTTTATCAACTAGCGAAGGAGAATATCCATTACACTCAGCTACATTCCTAATGTAATCTCTTTCTATTTCATATCTTTCGTTGGTAAGTGGAAAACTAAGTAATCTATGAACTAAGAAATTTAAACTAGCCATTCTGTGTTCAACACTATGATATGATATGTCATGATAATTCTACTGATGCGCGTCGTGTAAAAGTAAAAGTGTTTTGATGCATTGTGTTGATTTAGTGTTTTATTTTGCAGCCAATTAGTAGTTATGGTAACCTTATATTACCAATTTACCTTTAATGACTCTTTCTCCTTGTAGCACGTTGAAGTAAAAGGGTAAAATTGCTCACCAAGCGGTGAAAATGCTCTAGTTACAAATACACTGCACATTTGTTTAATGTGTTTTATATAATCCGATTCTTTCCCTTCCAAAGCATTTACTTTAACTCCCATGGCAGCTTCTAAAACGTAAGAATAAACTAAAATATAAATCTTCTGGAGTATACCTAGTTTTCTCGAAAAAGCTTACCACATATCACGTCTAAAGCATACAGCGATATAATTTTGGATATTTCTACACTATCTTTTCCTTCTTCGCTTTCAAGTTTTGTAATAAGATTATTGCCAACATTTTCGAAAATTTCGATAAACTGCTGCAGTATGGAAAAATGGAATGAAGGAGTTATCGCCTTCCGGTGTTTCTTCCACTTGGTGCCTAAAAGGTAAAAACGACAATGTAATGACGGTTTTATTTTCGATAAATATTAAAAATGTCGATAAATTTTAATTGCAATTATGAATATTTCCCCAAAATAAGATAGGATTTCAATTCTACACCTTCAAATATACCGATGGGCTTGTGTAGGTTATTTTCGCCAAAAAATACATGATGATGTTTTCCCCTGTACCCCTCATATACATTAGAATTTACCAATTAATCAGTCAGCAGATTTGTATCGAATTAAAGAAGCAATAAAATATAACATTTGTTTTCCTGAATTTTGAACCCAATGGTTCTTTACATTTTACATTTCGCATTTTACGTATTTATCAGATGGTTGTAATGTTCTACAAGCAGAAGTTTACGCTATAAAGGAAATGGCCAGTTGTAAACGAAGAAAAATCGCCGATAGACCAATAGGAGGTATCGTGATATACTCTAACAGCTTGGACACTTTAAGAAGCATCACCATGCAATCAACTGTGATGGGCTGCCAAGAAGCACTCTCCTGGTTGTATCAAGGCGGGGCGACTCTGTACTGCGTGCCAGGCTACAGCAATGTGGTAGGCAACCAAGAAGAAGCGGACAGACTCGTCAAAGAAGGAGCCAGGGGAGAGGCCGTGGCGGATGACCCACCACTTGTGACGATCAACATACTGAAGTAAGCTATAGGAACTACCATCAAATCCAAGCAGCAAGAGACTTGGCAACACCGTAAGGACTGCGCTACAGCTCGAAGACTGTGGCCAGTGGTAGATATCAAAAAGACAAAACAACTACTAGAGCACAAAAAACCTAGTACGCATAATTGTAGATGTCATTACTGGAAACTGCCCCACGGTGGTAAACCTCGTGAGATAGAAGATTTCCAACGACGAGTACTGCAGAGAATGCGGAGAGGGAAAGAAACTATATAGAGCACACACACACCAGCTGTGTCACTGTTCCGAACTGGAATACCGACGATTTAAAACTTTAGGGCATGGTTTTTTGGGCGGACTAGGGGAAGCAGCAGAAGCCAACATCACCGACATCGAGAACTTTGCAAAGAACTGGAAATGCTTTAACGCAAAGAAAGAATGAGAAGAAGGTTTGGTACAATAATAGAGAGTTCAAATGAGGGATCAAACAGGATCCTAAACCCCAACAATCTAACATAGCCTAACCTATGTTTTCAGAAGTTTTGAAACCTGAACTCATCACAGATGTATCAGGATTTATCTAAATATTGTTTAAATAAATTTAAAATTTCCAAGTCCGTAAACAATACTGGGTAATTTTTTACAATATTGATAGCTTGATGCAAAACTTAATATGATAAATTCTTATGCACACAAGTCTTTCTAATGTATATAATTAAGTAATTATTATATCATTATACTGTAATTAACTTTAATGAATATATTTTCTAGTTGATATAGTTATGTATATTACATTTATAACTTTTGGAATAAATGTAATTATGACCAAGAAAATGGATACCTAAAATAATTAATTTAGACCAGTGGCATCGGCAACATGAAAATGAGTTATGCGTCTTTCTGAAGATAAAATAGCATCTCTTTACCAAAAATTAATTTTAGCTTGCTTTATTTTTTTTAGTATTTTATATTGTTTTTTCTTATGACTTTTTTATCCTTCATTCGGTATTTCTTTTATGTACTTGGTCATTTATCATTTCTTACTTTCATTATTGATTGCTTTGTGTGATAATTAAATATTAGTAATTAAATACCAACTTAATATTTTATCGACTTCGGCGAATTTTGTTCTTATTAAGCTTCATTAGAACCTCACAATTAGTGGAATAAATTAGTGGTTTCAGAACAAAAGCGAGAAAATAAGCATTCAGAACGTCAAAAATAGTAGTAGACATTTTCAATTAGTAGAAAAAGTTATCAAACTTTTAACTTTTCCTCTAATTATAGGTACTTCAAAATTGAGAATTACTTTGATTATCTTTCGTCAAAAGAAATTGTGGTCAGAAATCAAAAGTTGATCGTTCTATAAGCTAAATATTACTCTTTCTCTATGGATACAACTGACTAACGCAAGCTGTTGCTAGGATATTCTATTAATTTTAATTATGTTTCTTTAAACATTGTTAATGATCGTAAACTAAAAAGTATAAAGTGTAATTATTGAAACCGCTAATTGCAAGGATTTTTTTTGAATTAAGCTTTAAGTCTAACCTAAAATGTATAAAAAAGGTAATAACAAATTATAACGTCATATCCTTTTCTATAATTTCAATACTGAGGTATAAAAATTACTCTACCGCATTATATTCCCACTATTTTTCTTGTTGTATAATTAGGAAATAATTATTTGATTAACGCACGTGTATCAAAATAATTAATGAATTTTGTTTCATACAACTCTTTGTGATATCTGTAATTTTATATTTTGTGACATACTGACCATTTTTTCCTATTAATTTAACTGCACGCAACTCTTTACATTAATTGTGGAGTCAGAGTAATAAATAGCATAAACCTAATATTTACCATATACGAAAAATACAAAAACAAAAATTTGAAATACTAAGTTGCCATTAAATATTTCAAATCAACTAGGCAAATGGTGGAAAAAAATGTATTATCGAGAAAATAAAGACCCTAGACATTTGGCAACAAATGGTAACCCTATATCCTCCTAATCTTACCTGTACTAGTGAGCAAACCATCTCCAAGCCAGCCATAGAAGAGATTGTATTGATCGGACTTATCTATGTGGGTTGTTGAGCTATACAGATATTCAGTAAATTCATAATCTATGGTTACTACCAACCAACTGAAACAGCCATCGTGAACTATAATAGTATCTCCATATTGTTTCATGTATCTTTCTATCACTTTCAAGTAAACTGAAAGAAAAATGTGATTATCATATAGATACTGGATAAAGATATATTTTTATATAACATATTACGCTTTTATGAGGTTTCTGAATGCATTTTTGAAATTGAAATTAACATATTGAGGGGTGTCTCACTGTTGGAATTACATGTACATTTTCTTAGCAGTCGCTGGCAGTCATTGGTATCATTCGATTATAATTGTATAGGCAGTCTTCTGGGCAGTAACTGGCATGATATTTTGGCAGTACATGTACATTTTTTACTCAAGTGTGACACCCCTCGGTCACATGAGATAGTCACATTAACAATATACAGGGTGTTCCTTAATGACATGCTAATATTTAAAGGCGTGATTCTTCGACCTATTCTAAGACATAAACTTAATATAAATGTATGTCCTAAACATCTTTGTTTCTGAGATATATGGAATGAGAACCTTATGATTTTTACTATTATTAAACATATTTAAAAGGGTATTTTTTTCAAAAATAAATAGATAAAACGCATATTCAATATTTTTCAAACGATAAATTTCAGGTAATTATACATTATGAGTAATTAATGGGCCATGACATTTAAAGATTGTTTTAAATATTCCATTAGAAAATGTATACAAACACTTAATTAAAAAATAGGTACCTACAACTTAGAATTACGAGGCTACCAGATATATTTTCTTTGATTTTTAACCGAATATAATACCGAATGAAATTTTAAAGTATTCCCAAAAAACTTGCAAGAGAAAGGCAGAAAAATGCATGGTTCATTTAGAAATATGTAGTAATTATTTTTTTTCAAATATGAGAAAATTATTTTGGGTAGAGTATACCAGGTGCGTGTCAAAAGTGGCTCACCTCTAGAACTTTTTTATTTTTTTCAGATAAAAAACGAGATTTGGTATATTAGTATATGACATAAATTAGGACCCAAGTAGCATCTATCTGACTTCGAACTAAATCTAACCTGAAGCGACGTCAGACTTTGTGCAAATTTAGGTCGGGTACTCGTGATACGACCTGTGACGTCGCTTTCCTATTAAAAGCGACGTCGTTGGATCCGAGTCGGTAAATCCAACGATCTGTCGACGTACAAAATAACAACGTACCATTTTTATTAATTTCCCAACGTCGTTCCCAGGTTGGCTTGCACGACGTACATATACTTGACCTAGCCCGACGTCTACCCGTTGTCCGAATAGGATACGTCTCACTGATAATCCCTAAACTAACGTCCAATTATATTTTGTTGTATTTTATTTTCATATTTATAACCTAATTTACGTATCTCTATTTATGTCCGTAAATACAACCCATTAAGTAGCATTTGCGACCTAATGAACATCATGAACATAACCTAATATAAAGTTTTTGTAAACAAACTTAAATTTTTTATTATGCTTAAAAAAACACTAAAAAGGCATTTAGACATTCATCTACATTTTACAGAAAGAGGTCGAGGCTTTTGCAAAATAATAATAGTAGTAGTGATGTCTTGCCTCCACCCGTAAATGCTTTTTATCCGGAAGAGATGCTGCATTACACTGGTGCATCTTAATTTCATTTTTTAGCTTATGATACCAGCAGACCCCATCCTCCCCCGACATGTGAGGTTAGGCTTAAAAAAGTCGCTGCCCATTTTTTTTAACGAGAAAACAAAAACTAAAATATAGTTGCACAAATCACTGATACGCAAAACGCAAAGTGAGGTTACGTGGCGTACGTTGGAATTATATACGTCATAATACGATTGCCGGTCGTCCGGTTTGATGACTTCGGTCGTGTGAGACGACTAATGTTGGAGACCCGGTCGGAATTGGTATATTGGTAGTTCATATTAAGTCGGACACAGAAATCCGCCATTCTTAACACGTATCCGATTGTCGGCCATTTTAAAATCGTTTTTGTTTTTAAAATTTATATTCACATTTCGATTTCTAGTAGAATAATATTGATAAGGTTGAGTTTGGGGGAACCACAGTACAATTTTATGATTAAACCAGCTAGAAAATTAAAAAATATTTTTGCGATTTACTTTTTTATAGATATTTTATTTCATAAATCTACCTAATTTTGAAGGCGCTCGTTGTTTTCCGGAGTATTTTAATCAGATATATCAAGAAAGTGACTTCCGTTGACAAAACTGATGTCTGGATTAATGATTCAGAATTATTATAATATGAAATTAAATAGGCACTTTTAGTTATATTCGAGGAGTGATTATGAATCCATTTGTAATTAGGTAGTTTGGTTAGATTTTTATGTATTCTTGGTAGCGAATAGAGAACAACGGCATACGGTCGTGTCGGCCGCTGCTGGCACGTATACGTAGACGTAAAGAATCTTTTACGTGTATAAAAAATAAAAAATATAAGAAATGCGCATGCGTACGTAAACGTTTACGTGTTTGTAGACCGACTCGACCGTATGCCGTTGTTCTCTAATATGAAACCAAACGTAACGTAAGTGCTTAGCGACAAATTTTAAGTGACTAAAATCCAACGTAATACGACGTTGGTAATTGGTAGAATTACATTCCCTATTAGATCAGATACCGACGTCGAGGCGACCCGAATCTGTATTCCCCATTTAGATGCAAATAAGGGTCGTCAGGCGGTCGAACCGACATTGGTACCCGACGTCGGGTTTATTGAACGTGACGTATACCCGACGTTAGATAACGTCCAAATGCTATTTGGGGATTGATTGACGTATTTAATAAAAAAAATAAAAATGCTGTTCTGAAATGACTACAACTTTTGATTTGTAAATGGGACCCTCGGTATTTTTTTACTTTATTCAATAGAAAATGGCACTCTGAATTAGAATGACAAATTATATATCAACTTATATCGATATCGATATTTGATATAGCGAATATATCAAATTCGCTTAAAAAACATATTTTAAATTCCAATCTAGATTGCCATGGCTGTTTAAAAAAACACTAATTTTTAATCAAGGAGTCTTGAAAAAATAGATTTGATCGTCTAGTGCTGTCTTCTTCTAGCCGATTAAAAGATGCCCAAATCGTAGTTTTAATCATATCTCAATTTTTTCTAATATATAGGTAGCTCATTAGCATATTTGCAAAAGTCATTTTTTGACGAATAATTTGGTACCACACACTTATTATTTTTATCTTAGGTATTTTTAGTCAAATGGTCGTTATGAACCGCATGTTACAATTTCAAATAAAACAAAGGCGAAAATGTTAGAATTTGACATATGATATGTCATTCTATTCAAAGTGTCATTTTTTTATCGAATAAAGCAAAAAAATACCGAGGGTGCCATTTAAAAATCAAAAGTTGTATAGCCTTGGTTGTAGTCATTACCGTTGAAACAGGAAGTGACCGAAAACAAATGAATATGCCAATCAATTGAATACGCCAGATCAAACTAATTTATGTCAAATACTAGCATACCAAATTTCGTTTTTTTATCTGAAAAAATAAAATAGCTATAGGGGTGAGCCACTTTTGAGACTGACAAATATTTATTCTTTTTTTAAATTTTTATTTGCATAGAATTACTTAAAATGCTATTTATTTTAGGTATCTATTTAAGATTTTCTTTGTAGAAAGTACCTCTAGTAAAAAATTATCAAAAAAGCGCCAGTCTTACAAGAGCCTTATAGCAAGACTAAGACCAAGACTACTTATTATAAACTCTGGATCGGAAAAAAGTAGAATGTCCACTGAAGAAAGAGACCAAACCTTCACCCAAAGACCAAATTCTGAAACCACAACCAAACTGCTAAAGCTTAGCAGGAACAAAGTGCGGATTGCAACAAGTCCCTTGGCAGGTTATATGGCTATCAAATGCTACCTAAACAAATTCAACCTGTATCATAGAAATATTTATTATGAGATTCTGCGATAAAGGTTCTGACACAGCAGAGCACATGATATGTCACTGCGAGGCTCTGGATCGCAAACAACACTTTTTACTTGGAAAAGCGAGACTAGAACAGGAGGAACTATGTTCCCATTACATTAAGAACCTGCACAAGCTGGTGCAGGGTACAGAGAGATGAGGTTAGGTACAGTAATAGAAAGAGGACAAACACAGATCGCCGTGTTTCCGACACAGAACGGTCCCTTAATATTGAAGAAATAAAGACTACTTATGGAAGAAACTCAATCATATTCAAGTCTAGAATGCCGCACTTTATCTAAAGAATAAAACATTCGATCAATGTGTTCGTACTACAAGTCATGACCTATGCATGCAAAACATGGACACTTAAAACGAATATTAAAGGAAACTGCAGGTTGCACAACGCTCAGTGGAACAAAATATCCTGGGAATAACCAAGGAGGACCGTAAAAGAGTAGAGTGGATACGACAAAAACCCAGATAAAAGATGTCATCCAGAGAATCAAATTCGTTTAAGTGGCAACGGGCAGAACAGCTAGCAAGAAGGACGGACAACAGATGGACCACAAGAATTACAGCATGGTACCCACGGGGAATTAAGAGACCTAGAGGAAGGCCAAACCTGAGATGGGACCATGACATTATGAAATTAGCAGGGATAACTTGGGCCCACATAGCCAAATGATTGAATAAGCTGATGAATGATGATGATGAAAGACTACTAGATAGGTTAAAACCAAGAGCAAGGGAGTCTTAGTCTTGGTCTTAAATTTGTTCATTACTATACAAGAACAAAAATATAATTTACCAAATTTAAAATGACATAATAGATAAGGTAAACGTACCAATTATCGGCTGTGCGCTAATTATCGGCACAGAGCCCGAATTTTATTCAAAAACAAGAAATTGGTCCAATTTATACATTATGCGACATCTCTTGCATTCTGGTACAACCTGACTCTACCCACACTACTCAACCTGTCGATCAACCGACATTGCAACACGTGAAAAATAATTAGTTTAGACCTGTCAGTTTTTGTCTTGCTTTGGCGGCAACTTGTGCTTTGTGTGTGTGTTTACAAACAGGTAAAGTGAAACATCATATTTTTGATACTTAAAATGCTGATATTGACTTTAAAAGTTGTCCTATATATTTTGTGGGTTCAATATATGTGTTAAAGTAATAATAAGTGTCACATTATTCATAATTTTTGATTTATACCGGTGCCGATAATAGGAACACCAAAAAGACTCTTGCGCTAATTTTCGGCATAGGTGCCGTTAATTGGTGAAATGTACGCTATCCGAATAAGGCCTATTTTTCTATTTCTTACAAAGGAATTGTCAATTCGGTGTGATTTTTATTTATATAAAAGACCTAATTTCCTTTATACCAATTTTCGGCACCAAAATTCGGTAAGATTATAAATTTCATATACTTTCAATAAGGGTGCCGATAATGCGGGCATACTAGTGCTGATAATTGGTTTTCTTCATTTCAGCTTACTAATAGCATGGATAAGAAAAAACGATTGAATTATTCTTCTGAAGCTTTAAATAAAGCTATTGGTGCCGTTCAGGCAGGAATGCCTGTTAAAACCGCTAGCAAAAAGTATAACGTTCCTAGAGCAACTCTGCAAGATAAAGTCAAGGGCAGAACGTTGTTGGGAAAAAAATGCGGTCCAGAAACTACCCTCACGGAACCAGAAGAGTCTTTGCTTGTTCAGTGGCTATTCGATATATCAAAACGTGGGTTTCCTGCGACAAAAAAACAAGTTTTGGATAGCGTTCAGCTCCTCCTGAAAGAATTAGGTCGGACGAATAAATTCACAGATGGTCGACCGGGACGCAAGTGGTATGAGTTATTCTTAAAAAGACATCCGGAGCTCACCACAAGAATTCCACAAAATCTATCTGGCTCAAGAGCCATCCTAAATGAAAACAGAATTCGCTATTGGTTTAAAGAAGTGGAAACCTATCTGAAAGATTCCAATAATTTCGACATAACTTTGAACTCCAATCGTGTCTTCAATTGCGATGAAACCGCATTCTTCTTGTGCCCTAAGGGTGACAAAGTGTTAGTGAGAAAAGGGGAGAAAACAGTTACTCGTTTTCTAATAATGATGATAAAGAATGTCTTACAACGTTAATTACCTGCAGTGCATCCGGAAAGATTCTTCCTCCAATGGTTGTTTTTAATTATAAACGGATTCCCAAATCTATTACAGATAATTTTCCTCAACGTTGGGCCATTGGAAAATCTGACAGTGGTTGGATGACGGCCGGGACTTTCTACGAATATATCGCCAATATTTTTTATCCTTGGATAATTGCTGAAAATATTCCTCTTCCTGTAATCCTGTTCTTAGACGGCCACACCTCTCATTTATCTTTAACGCTTAGTCAATTTTGCTCCAAAGCAAATATAATTTTAATATCGCTCTGCCCTAACGCCACCCATATTCGCAGCCTCTGGATGTGGCTGTATTCCGACCTTTAAAGATGGAATGGAAAAAAAGTATACACCGCTGGAGGTTGGAAAACAATGGGAAAAAGATCACAAAAGACGTGTTTGCCATGATTTTAGAAACAACTTTAAACAAAATGAGTAATTTTCCAGATGTTGTTAGAAATGGTTTTAAAACATGTGGTTTAATTCCTTTTTGTGCTGATAATATCAAGTTTTCGAAATATTTTAAGGACAAGGATAAGGCGGGCGGATCGCAAGACACTAGTGAACAACAGCGGGAAAGAGAGGATAAGCAGAAAGATCAAGGTTCAGTTTTGGAGATATTAGAAGAAGAAATTCCATCAGAAATTTTAGTATCGTTTAAACAATCTGGAGAGATATGGGAAGGAGCTATTGAACATACAAGCCTTTTTATGATATGGAAAAAAGCAATAGCGCGAACTGAATTCGATAATAGAAAAAATAATTTCAATGAGAAAAGTAATGTTATTGAGATTGAGATTGATTCAAACCTTGATCGTTCAGATCTTATTAACACGATGAATGGACAAAAGGAAAACATCGACGACCTTGACATCACTGGACTGATAAATGTTGACAATTTGAGCCTCCCAATAATTTTCGATTTTACCAATGATCTTCAACTTGAATCGCCACTACCTTTAATCGCGAACACCCGAAATTCACCTATTAAAAATTTAGAAGACACTGGTGATAAGGAAAGGGATCAAATAAACGAACTTTTGACCTCGAAGATTTCAAATGTGTCTATCGGAAACATAGAAGAAAACGATGATAATGAACGGGATCAAACATACCGGAACATTCCAAATGTGCCTTCCGAGAACATGGAAAAAAATGACGACGATGTACAAGAACAAACATACGGATCAATTGGCAGACATTCAACGCCTGTCAAATCCTTAATAATACCCCCGATGATGACCCCAGAACAAAATCAAACTGACGCAAGACCACCGTTAATCGCTATGAATTTTTCACAAGATAAAAATAGTTCATGCATACCCACACCTTTTAAAAAATCCCTCTTCTGGCCTGAGTCTAAAACCGAAAAAGAAACACGAAAGCAAAGAGAGAAAATCCCTGCTGTGACGACATCTTTACAGTGGCAGCAATATTTTGAAAAAAAGGAAGAAAAGAAAAGGCAAGAAGAAGAACTAAAACTGAAAAGAAAATTAGAACGTGAAAAGAAATCTGTTGAGAATGAAAATAAAAAGAAAAAAGCCAAGAATGATGTTTCTGTACGTAAGAGAGGTAATCAGAAAAAGGAAGCGAAAAGGATTAAAAAAAATACTCCTAAGAAAAACCCTGCCACCCCGCCACCATCAGAAACTACCGAGACATGGTACTGTTCTTTATATGATTCAGATCGACATATTGCGATGCGTCTGTGTTCCGGTTGCTATAAATATTACCACGAAGAGTGTATTGGATTAACCAAAGACGATAAAGAAGATTTCCTTTGTCCAGTTTGTGACACTTCCTAATTTAAATTATTGTTTTTAATTTTTCCAAAGAGTTTACTGTTAGTTTCGTTTTTTTGAATTACTTAGATTTTAAGATTCCTTAATTAAGTAAGTAAGTAAATTAAATAAGTACCTACCTAAGTAATTTTGCCGATACCAAAGAAAGTATTCTCAGGTTTTTACGAATGTTTTTTTTGGTGTTATTTTTAAATATTTATCTTCTTAATAAATTTCTACCAGGTTTATTTGATTTTATGTAAAAAGTACATCTCCTAATGCGCTGCCGATAATAGGTTACTCCAGGTGCCGAAGACTAGAACAGTTGCATTTTTTTGGATGCCGATGATACCTACACGGAGATATTTTGTATTTTTTTAAAAGAAATACTTACAGGTAAATCTTTTAAACATTTTACTCTTTTTATATTATTCTCTAGTATCTAATGTGACTAGAACTATCGAAAAAATCGAATTGGTAATCATTATGAGTTTTCTATAGTATATTCGGTCACATCAAGATTCGACAACGTCCTTAGGATGCCGATAATTGGTACGTTTACCTTATTTACGATACAAGTGAGTTAACAGCATCATTATGATACGCGCCGCGTGTCAAAGTTTCGTGTAACCCCTCAAGTATCTTAATGGAGTTAACTCGCGTGTATTGTACAATATTTCATCTACGTCTAACTATAAAAACACACAATGAATTTTAAAAATTATTGTACTTAACTATATACCTATCCTAAAAATCAGTTACCTTAATACCTTTGTTCATATAACACTATGCATGGCAATGTCAATATGACAGTAAGTAATATTGATGTCACTAGTTTAAAAAATGAGCGATTCGGAAAGCATTTCGGAAACTATTCCCTCTGATATTGAAGAAGAGGCATTCAGAGCCATTTCTGGATTGTTTCCAGCAAGACCGAAACAGAAGTATGAATATACATACTCTAAGTATGAAAAATGGTGCACCGAAAAAAAGTACACAACTATGGAAATGAAAAGGTACTCATACTCATAACATATTTTTCCAATTTAGTGCAAAATAAATGTTTTACAAAATATTTTTTTCTCTTTGGTAGTCATCTAAACAAGGAATGCGGTAATGAAAATGCGTGAGTTAAGAAGCTCTTAACTCACTCAAAATGCGTGAATTAAGAGCTTCTTAACTCACTGACATGACGTAGATAAAATAATATTCAAAGGATAAAATCTCAGGTTATATCGGTCTGTTTTCATTCAATGACACTCATTTATTCATTAAAGCCTCTATATTTCGTTAGTGGTTACTAACATCATCACGAGGTACCAAGAATTAGAGTTAAAATATCGGTACGTGCACACTACACATTATAAACATGATAGAATAAATTTATAATGTGTAGTGTGCACGTACCGATATTTTATCTCTAATTCTTGGTACCTCCTGATGATGTTAGTAACCACTAACGAAATATAGAGGCTTTAATGAATAAATGAGTGTCACTGAATAAAAACAGACCGATATAACTTGAGATTTTATCCTTTATACTAAAAGTACGGTCGAGAAACAATCCTTAAAATAATATAATTATCTATTAATATACCAGGTAGTCCAAACTGTATTTCGGAAACTGCGGCAGCATATTCTGCAGATAAAAATAAGTAAAAAAGTTCTTATAAATGTATGTCCTAAAATGCTTAGTTTCGGAGATATAGAATCGAAATAAAAATGAAACTTCTACACCCTGTATCTCCGAAACTAAGCATTTTAGGACATACATTTATAAGAACTTTTTTACTTATTATAAAATATTAAAATAATTTTTATCTGCAGAATATGCTGCCGAAGTTTCTATTCTACAATTTTAATTTATAATTTAATTTCAAAATTAATTTTATTAAGCATTACCTTTACTGCCCGCAGCAAAATCCAGCATGTTACCCAAGGGGAAAGTCGGTTTCGGTCCAGGGACATTTTTCATATATTTCGACGTATCTTTCAGCCGTTTTTCAGTAATCCACATCCATAACAAGAGAAACACTGGCAAGAAAACCAAGAGAACGTACGTTATCATCTTCAATATTAAACTGAGCGCTTTTCGTTTTCATTGACCTTTTATTTTCAAAACAACATCAACAAATTATTCATTTATAATAGGAATTTAACAAGCAACTTGGTGCAATTAAAACGATTTAATAAAACTTGTTTTTTGTCACTGCAACACTGTGCTAATGTTGTTTGTAATTTTTATACTCATTACCAGACATATTATCTAATCTTCAAAAAATGCATTATTGTTTTTTTAGTTTGTCTTAAGTTGTGTTAATTATTATAAGTCCTTTATTAAACCCAGTAATAATACAAAAATAGTACCTACAATGTATATGGAATTAATAAATTACATTTTAATTGTTTCTTTTTTCTTAAACTTTTAGATTATATCCATATAATATATGTTTTTTCTTCTTCTTGGGTATGAGTTTTTTTCTAATAAATTGAAAGATGGAAACTTTTTTTTAGTAGTCTATATTAGTTCATATATCTATATCTAATAGTTTCTACTAAATCTGTGCTAGCAAGACTGGTGCTAGCAAGGCGACTTCAAGTTTTTAGAAGAAAGTGCCTGAAAAAGCCCACTATGTTGGAGCGAAACGTCGCATAAAAAAAGTTTCCATCTTTTAATTTATTAAAAAAAACTTCATACCCAAGAAAAATAAAAAACATATATATGGATATAATCTAAAGGTTTAAGAAAAAAGAAACAATTAAATTCAAACAATTAAAAAAACCTCATAAATTACTGTTTACATGAGTATTTATAATACCGAAATACGAATATTAATAGTACCGAATTCGAAGAAACCTGCTCCAACTAAAGGGTAACTGGTGGTCAAAAAAGCCAATCAAATTCACGATTACGCCACGCATCACGACTATCGTAAATTCTTCGAGGTTGTAAAAGAAGTATACTGCCCAACCAAGAAGCTAAGCTGCCCAATCATGGCACAAAATAGCGAACTTCTAAAACAGAAAGAACAAATCAGAAACTGCTGGAAAGAGCATTACAGCCATATCCTTAACCAAGAAAACAACCCCAATATGGAAACACTAAACACAATACCGCAGTATAACAACCTCTATGTATTAGATATAATACATCCAATAACAGAACAGAAAATAAAAGCCTCCATAAAACAGCTTAAAAACAACAAATCAGCTGACTGGGACGCGATTCCCGCGGAAATCAAGATCCAATCATCCATCAATCCAATCCATTCATGTCCAATCATCATGATCACTGGATCCGTGGATGTGTCTTAGCGCCTCTCCTATTCAACATATTCATGGCAGCGCTCTTCATTATAGTGGACAGCAAACTGCAGGAGAGAGGATTGGGAATTAGATACAGGTACGACAGCGGTCTGTTCAACATAAAAAGACTCAGGGCAAAAACACGTACAAAATTCATCACAGAAATTCAATACCCTAATGACAAGAAATCTTGAACACATATACCTGGGCATACGAGGCTTTGGGCCTTATGCTGAACATCGACAAAACTAGAATCATGTCCACTTCCCCGGAAGATCAAAACATCGCGACAAAGCAATGCGATTTTTGAATGTCTGGAGTGCGGTAGACAGATAACATCACGTATCGGACTTCTCAGTCACAGAAAAGCTCATGAAAGTGATGTGTGTCAAATACTCGTCAGCGAGTAATGGCAGTATGTATTTATGTATAATAAAAAAATCTAATTTAATGTACAAATTTTCTTATGCTTACCTTAAATGAAGAACAAGGAAAAAAAGGACAATAACAGACAAAAAACTGGCATTTACTGAGAAAACAGTTTAAATGTTGCCAAATATCAAGTTAAAGATACAAAAGCTTTGTTCGGGTTCTTGTTATTACCGATTCTGAACCGTCATAGAACTCTACAGCGCATGCGCAAATGAAATAATGTCTTCATATTTCCTTCTGCGCATACGCATCACAGTTCTAGGAGGGTTCAGAATCGGTAATAACAAGAACCCGAACAAAGCTGAAGAGTTGTTACTGCATGTGTTATTATTACAAAATCCTTGACTGTGAAGGACACGGAGGGCCAAACCCCAACGATGTATGATGAGTTACAGACTGTATGATAAGTTATAACTCATAAAAGGGGATGCAATAGATCCTTACGGTAGATAACAGAAATATACAGAGTGAGTCTTAAATATCTGCAAATATTTTTAGTTTTTTTTTCGCCAATTTTTTTTTTGAAAATTTGGATTTTTAAAAAAAATGTATTTTTTTTAGTTTTTAGTTAAATATCATTATTTGTTGATAATATGGCAACGTAGATAGTAGAATAAATTTATAAAAAAGAAAATACACAAAAGATCCTGTAGTTCTCAAAATTTTAGTAATGTTTTTTTTTTTGGAAATTTTTAAAGTAAATTAACTTGGTTATTTTGGATTTATTTAAAAAACGGTAAAGAGAAAATATGATTCTCTTAATGAGATCCGCCAGCCCTGAAAAAATTTGCACGTATTTAAAACCCATCACCCTGTATACCGGGTGCGTCTCAAAAGTGGCTCACCCCTATAACTTCATTATTTTTTCAGATAAAAAAACGATATTTGGTATGTTAGTCTATGACATAAATTAGGATTGATTGACGTATTCAATTATTCTCGGCCACTTCCTGTTTCGCCGGAAATGACTACAACTTTTGATTTTTAAATGACACCCTCGGTATTTTTTTACTTTATTCGATAGAAAATAACATTCTGAATAGAATGACATCTCATACGTTAACTTTTGACATTTTCGCTTAAAACAAAATTGTACCTATTTTAAATTTCAATCTAGAATGCCATGGCTCTGTTAAAAACACAAATTTTTAATCAAGGAGCCTTGGAAAAATAGATTTGATCGTCTAATGAGTCTTGTCATGGCCGGTTAAAAGATGCCAAAATTGTATTTTTAATCAAATCTCACTTTTTTCAAATGAAAAGAGGGTGGCTCATTAGCATATTAAGAAAAAGCATTTTTTTACGAATAATTTGATACCACACACTTGGTATTTCTAGTCAAATTGTCGTTATGAATCGCGTGTTGCAATTTTAAATAAACCATATGAGAAAATGTCAAAACTTGACATATGATATGTCATTCTATTCAAAGTGCCATTTTCTATCGAATAAAGTAACAAAATATCGAGGGTGCCATTTAAAAATTAAAAGTTGTAGTCATTTCCGGTGAAACCGGAAGTGACCGAAAACAATTGAATACGTAAATCAATCCTAATTTATGTCATATACTAATATACCAAATCTCAATTTTTTATCTGAAAAAGTAAAAAAGTTATAGGGGTGAGTCACTTTTGAGACGCACCCGGTATATTCCGTAATTGGATATAATAATTTGATTTTTAATAAATTAAGTTTTGAATATTGATGTTTTAACTAGCAATAGGTTTGTGCAATGATTTCGTTGTCACCCTGTAGAAACATATGCAATACATTTTATATTTAAAAAAAATAGCATAATGAGCATACTTTTTTAGATCTTTAACCTGCGACACTTCATATTGATAATGAATTCCAGACAACAATGTAACATTGACAATACAGATTACTAATTATTATTTATTTGATTAAGTTACAAGTGGTTTTTAATGCAAATGCAACATGGAATTTTATTATTTTCTAAATACCTAAATAGCTTTTTTTAATAACACATTATATTAAACTTAATAATATTAACGGAATTTATTCGAAACCTTTTAGTATACACGGTGTCCCATAGAAGAATGCTCACAATAGGAATATCAAAGAGTCATAGAATTACATAGAAATACATAGGAATATAAATTAAAGAAAAATTGTCCTCTGCTACTAGTTTTTTCAATATGATGTTTCGTTTCCGAAATACAATTTAGTTTTTTTTAAAATACGGACCTGGATTTTTTATTTGAATTTTTAATGGTGCAGCTGCTCTTACCTAAAAAATGTTCCGGGGGTTTCAAAAAACATGTGCTATCTTTCGTGGGGTGATTTCTCAGGTAAAAATTAGATTTATTTTTCATATGTGACGTATGTTGATACGTCCGATTCTGCTTTGTTTCGAAGCTACAAAGTGCTTAAAGTCTTTATTTTTTTTTCGAAATATTAAAATTTTCTTCCAATTTCTTTTGGTGATTTGAATGAAATTTTAAGGGTGGAAGTTACTATAAGTGGTACATATTTTAATGCTAAAAAAGTGTCGACAAATTCATCAGGGACGTGCACATCGATTATCACTGGAATATTTTCCAAAAAAGACATGTGCGCCGCTAACTTTTTCTCCTTTGATGTCAAAATTGTGTAGGCCGTTTAATGCCAATTAAAAGTTGTTATTAATCCACAATTAATAAAATTAAAATAAAAATAAAATTAATAAATAATTATACAATAATTTATCTGATAATTTATTATCCCTATCTGATATTATTACTATAAGTTATTATTATTACTGTTAGTCAAACCTACAACAATTTCAAATAAAAAAATGGTATTTAAGATAATTACAAAAGACCTAATTTTAAAAAGTTTGAATATGCTGTAACTCTATAACTATGCATTTTTATACCCATGTTTATAGGAACATTTTTTCATATTTTTTTATGAGGAATCAATGAGTACTTATTTACAACTTTTGCAAGTTAATAATATTAAAAATGTTTAAAGGTTGCTATTGGACTTGGATCAAGGCAAATTAATAAAATTACGTTTATCTCATCAAGGAGGCCGAAATTGACAAAATACTATCAAAAGGCAACTTTTAATCGGTATTAAACTGCTTACACTGTTTCGCTAACACGAGAAAAAAGTCGTTGGCGTACATATTTTTTTTAGACAAATATTCCAGTGATAACCCATATGCACGTCCCTGGTGAATATGTCGTCACTTTTTTAGCACTAAAATATGCCGCATTATAGTAACTTTTCGCTAAAACTAGTTACAAGAAAATTATAATAAATTGAAAAAATATTAAGACATTATCACCCTGTAGCTACGAAACAAGGCACAATCAGACTTATGTTGATATGAAACATAAATCATATTTTTTG